AACAACAACAACAAGAACAATTACAATAACAAGCGCAAGATCAACAACAATAACAACAACAATAACAAACACAAGATCAACAACGAGAACAACAACAACAACAACAAGAACAATAACAACCACAAGATCAACAACAAGAACAAGAGCAAAATCAAGATCAACAACAAGCACAACAAGAACAAGAACAAGCGCAAGATCAGCAACAAGAACAAGAACAACAACAAGGTTAATAACGAGCGCAAGATCAAGAACAAGAAGAAGAACAACAACAACAACAAGAACAACAACAAGCACAAGATCAACAACAAGAACAAGGACAAGAAGAACAACAGTGCAACAATAAGATCAACAACAAGAAGATCAACAAGAAGAACAACAAGAAGATCAACAACAACAAGGCGTAACAAAAGTGCACATGTGCCACCGCGCAGACAGTGGGCTACGCGGCGTAACGGCGTAACGGCGTGGCAAAGCAGCGGCGCAGCGGCGCAGCAGCGCAGCGGCGTAGCGGCGCAGCGGCGTAGCGGCGCGCCACAGACAAGAACACAGCCATAGCACAGCGCAGTGGCGTAGCGGCGTAGCGGCGCAAGACAGTTCAAAGACACCACAAAACGCGCGAGCAGCGCAGCGGCGCAGCGGCGACAAGAACAAAACCATAGCACAGCGCAGTGGCGTAGCAGCGCAGCGCCGCAGCGGCGCAAGACAGTTCAAAGACACCACAAAACGCGCGAGCAGCGCAGCGGCGCAGCGGCGCAAGACAGCTCAAGGACACAAATTGCAACCACGCTGCAACTACCCTGCAGTGGCCAGGAGCGTAAACCGATTGATGTCAACGCCGGATTAATAAACGCCCCCCCTTCAAGGTCAACGAGGTCAACAAGGTCTGAGATTGGAGGTATTTGAGGACCGCAACCCCCTAAGGAAAGCGATGACTGACCTGATGATGGATGATGATGATGATGGTTGATATGATTCTGTGTGAACACTGAGGCCTGTGAGAGGGGTACCCTTTGTGAGCTAGAAAACGTTAAGATTTTGATAGAGTTTTAATATGAAGGAATTTTCATTGAGCTCGCAGCAAATGCGCATTTTGGCTTTCCAGACTGCTACTTCTGCCCGGCGCGCAGTTTCTGAAGAAAACCAAGATTTCTGCAGTGCTGTTCAGCAAAGAAAACCAGGTTTTCTCCAGGGCTGCGCGCGGAGAAATCATGAAATATGCCAAGACTTTTCCGAGAATAAGTTCCAAACTTCTGCAGAGCTAGCGACGTGGCTGACTGCAAAACAAAAAGCAACATTTACGTCATTTGCTCCCTCCCTGAGAATTTTGCTAGAGAGGTTCTAGGGACCGGAAGATATTGGATACTAGCCAAGAAGAAAGTAAGTAGACAAGAGTTAAATATATGCTGTAATAGTAAACTGCATTTTTATTTTTCTCGGGCAGCTGGGATTGAATAAAAGGGGAGGTGTCTGCACAGGAAAAATGGGGGATGCCAAAGTGGAAATCTAGGTTTTAGATTCGTTTGGTATTGGGGGGGTCGAGCTGGGATTGATTGATAGGGGGTGTTTAATTTATATATATAATCCTCTGTCAACATTACAGTGCATCGGATACAGGTGCCTTCGATGTACTGACAATGGCTTAAAGCCTAAATTGCAAGCAAGCTTGAGCGGCAAAGGTGTATATGTGTCTGCTTGTGTTTTTCGACGTGGTGTTTGTTACGTTATGCTCCGGCGAGCTGCAACTGTAGGCTGCGGAGTTGCAGCGCCAACGTAGTGAAAGGATGCAGGCGGCCATGTCAATTTCGCAGCGCAGGTTGGATAGCAGGTTTTTGCTTGTGTCCAGGAGGTTGCGGACTTGCGGAGAGGATTTGCACCCCTCCGGGCCGTAGGAGCCCGAGGGGAGAGAGAGAGAGAGAGAGGGAGAGAACGCGTGAGTGAGAGAGGGCTAGAGTCTAGAGAGCGAAGACAGATTGGACCAAGAGGGAGGGGCCTGAGGCCACGTGCAACACGCCTTCTGCTAGACAGCTGGTGGCGGTGATGAGCTAAGAGATGCGCGTAGGGGTTGGCGGCGCTGCAATGTCCAGCGCAGGCTCAGAATCGTCTTTGCCATGTTCGGCAACTTGTTGCGCAGCGGCGGCCTCACTGTGTAGGAGGAACAACCGAGAAGGTGGCGGTCAACTTTTGGTTCGCCGCGCGTTGTGCTCAGGCTAAGCTGTATAATGCACACATATACATACATAGATACATACACACATGCATACATACATGCATACATACATACAGACATGCAGACAGACATACATACATACACACATACAGACATACATATATATATATACACACACTTGCGTACACCGGTTTTTACACAAGTACGCCGCACGAGCGCACAAAGTTTGTAACAAACTTTGTATACACATTCTAATTTTTGTATATGTGTGTGTATGTATTTTGTTCACACATAGACGAGTGGGTCGAGGCCGGCCAGCCAGGACCCCACGACCATGGAACAAGATCACGATTCTTCACCTTGCTCGGACCTTGCCCTTGATTCTTTTTGACAGGTTGGTGCAGAAGCCCTGTGCAGGGGCGACTAGGCCGTTCAGGAGAAAGCGTGGGCTGAGTCGCAATAGGCCCAGAAGTTTTCTGAGCTGACAAGATTCGACAATCATGTCAGCTGCAAAAAACCCAAAGCGGCAATTTGAAAAAAGTAATTTCACGAGATTGTCGATGCGCTGGAATGCGGGGGAATGCCAAGAACTCACTATGACAGGCAAGATGGAACCTGTGACGAGCCTACCGCTCCCGCCGCGCCCAGAAGCTACGGAGTTTAGTCTCGCGATTGGGCAAGAACTTGGCAGAGGAGGAAAGACTCAACTCGACACCTGAGACTGGCGAAGCCACCACGCGCACCAACTTTGAGGAGGCCAACAGCTTTGGCGCCGCCCACCTTGAGCGTTCACAAACCTCTCAGGTTTGTTGCCGCGTTCTACAGAGTCATCGCCGTCGCGATGGTCAAATCTTGAATCTTCCTTGCCCACTTCTGGAACATTCCGCGATGGTGGCCCCTAGAAACCTAAGCCTAAAGGACTGGTTACCGCCTCATGGAATTCTTTGTGGTTTCTCTTAAACGTGCCTATCTTCAGGAGTGAAGCTCAATCTGCACTACGTAAATCATTCGAAGAAGTCTGCGACGTGGGCATCAAAGCTTGGAATCTCTATGGGGCCAGTTCAACTTTTCTCGATGGCCACTGCAGTTTTTTATCCGTGTGGCTATTATCACGCATCAATGGGGTTAGGCGCAAGCAAGAGCACTACTACACTGCGCTTGTGTACAAGGACTTGCTTAGTCTGCAGCTCACAACGGCAAAAGCAGTTGCAGCTGAGCGTGCAGTTCATGGACTCTATGCCTACTTGAAGTTTCTTTAATCCGAGCGGCTGATCATGCCATGGCAATGATGCCACGGAAGAGGGGCCAGATTTTGATCTCCCTCTCCACCACCCTGCAAGCTACGTGCCTTGGTTTCTCCTTGCTGGTTGGGACTTGAGCTTGAGCCGGAGCGATGCGCAGGGCCCAACACTTTCTAATTACGGCCCCAATCACCTCACCTGACGTTCACGCGGCGCAGCGTGCGAGGCCATGTTGGGGAAACAGAGTAGCTGTCTGATTACAACTTCTCTCCTCCACCTGGTGACCCGCCAGCCAGAGCTTTACTTTTTTAAACCAGGCAGTGAACAGTTCTCACAGCTTGATAGCCAGTGGTAGTCCGAGGGCCTTGCCTTGCCTAGTGGCTAGGTGGAAAGCACATGCAGCCAACACAATCGAAGAAGAGCACACCCTGGAGAAACGTAAATCTACTTACATACACACACACAGAGACAAATAGAAACATGTAACATATATGTATTTCTATTTTGCAGTATTTCTACTTTGCAGGTGCGCCTCCCTTCCCTTCCCTTCCCTTCCCTTCCCTTCCCTTCCCTTCCCTTCTGCTTTGTCATTAATTTCAGGTGGTTTTTTAATTTCTGATATTTTTCATGTCATTTCGTTTCCTTTCCTTTCATTTGCTGTTTATTTCTTTTCCTTTGAATTTCTTCGGTGCTTCATTTCATGTCATTTCATTTCGTTTGATTTCATGTTATTGTCATTTTCTTTTTCTTCATTTCGTTTCATTTCATTTTTTGTTCGTTCATTCCTTCATGCCTGCGTGCGTGTCAGACGCCCCGGTGCTACAGGGTGGCTGCTGGTGCAATTGTCGAGATTGGCGCAGTGGAAGCATGGTCGCAGTCGCTTCAGGTGGAGTGGTGTCGGATCAAGTCTTCAGCTCAATGTTGTTCGTTGGCGCTTTGGGGCTGTGGCGGGCAATCCCTGTATTTGCACTGAAGATCACAGGAGGCCCCGAATAGCAAGAGAATGAATTGAACATTTTGGCGGGACACGCAGGCTAGTGTTGGTCACGGCCTGGTGGAATGAATGCTGAAAGAGAAATGAACTCTTGATCACTACCCCCTGGCGGCTGGGTCAAAAATAAATTGGAACTTACAATTTTCGATTTTGCGACGATAGCATTATACAGCACTATTGAAAGTTAGATCTAAGTTGAGGTAGCCTATATGAGGATCGTACTTTTTACATTCCTCCCTCAACGAGGTCTTGGCCTATTTCTTGAGAGTTTGAAAGCAAGGGGAGCTCAAATTTGTAAGAATGGATGGGCAGGCGCCCCGCAGAGCAAGTTACAAATTCACCCCCCCATCTGTCGACTTGGCGTTGTTTTTTCACTGCAGATTGGAAACTATGTAAGTTGCAATTTTGAGGGTCACGAGCAATGCATCCACCTGACCCTCCAAAATGCAATTTCCAATTTTTGAGCGCGCGCAGGCTCAGCAAACGCACATGAGGCTCAAAATCTCACTTGCAATTTTGACCCCTGTCTTGTCAGATGGATGTATTTTGTTTCCAAAACCCGCCTTTTGACACACCCAAAATTGTACTTACATTTTTGACCCACCCGGCAGGTAAGGTAGCGCTTGCAAACTTCGGTTCATGCGTTAAAAAGTATAGAGCAAGCTCATGTGGGTTTCGGTCTTGCGCTTTTGAAGATGAGTTCATGCCAGGGTCGGTTGGAGCGAACGTAATCGCTACGGGCGTCAAGATCAAAAAATTAACCAGATGGAACACACGAACCCGAATGCAAACACGTACTCGAAAACAAGCGCCCAAACAAATTTTGACACTCTCTTGTAGGACACTCTTGTGGGGCACTCTTGCAGGACACTCTTGTCGGACAATTCTTGTGGGACACCCTTGCGGAACACTCTTGTAGGACACTCTTGCGAAACACTCTTGTCGGACACCCTTGTAGGACACTCTTGTCGGGTACCTTGTCGGACATTCTTGCAGGCAGGACACTGCATGTTGTGGGACACTCCTCTTGTAGGATACTTCTATAGGACACTCTTGTGAGACACGCTAGTATAGGAAACTCTTGTGGGACACTGACACTCCTGCCAGACACTCTTCAAGGATTCATTCTCGCCGGAAACCCTCGTAGAACACTCTTGTGCACTCTTGTGGGGACACCTTGCATGACGCTCCCTCTTGTGGGGCACTCTTGCGGAACATTCTTGTAGGACACTCTTCCGGGACACTCTTGTAGTACACTCTTGCGGGACTCTTTTGTGGGGCACTCCTGTAGGACACTCTTGTGGGACACCCTTGTAGAAAACTCTTGTAGGACACTCTTGTGTGACACTCTTGTGGAACACTCTTGTGGGACACTCTTGTAGGACACTCTAGGGCACTCTTGTTGGACACTTTTGTGGAACGCTCTTGCGGGACACTCTTGTGGGCCATGCGGGACACCCCTCAGGACACTCTTGTAGAGCACTCTTGTAGGACAGTTTGTGGAACGCTCTTGTGGGTCACTCTTGTGGGACAGTCTGGCCGGGACACTCTTGTAGGACACTGTGGAACACTCTCGTAGAACGCTCTCGCCGGACACTCTTATAAATGTTTATGGACCAGTCTTGTGGGACACTCTTGTCAGGCACTCTTGTCGAACACTCTTGCGGGACAGTCTTGTTGGACACTCTTGCGGAACACTCTGGTAGGACACTCTTGTGGGGCAGTCTTGGTGGACGCACTTGTCGGACTCTTGTGGGACACTCTTGTTGGACTCTGTCGGACACTCTTGCGGGACACCCTTGTAGGACACTCTTGTAGGACACTCTTGTGGGACACCCTTGTAGGAAACCCTTCTAGGGCATTGTTGGGTACTTTGTGGAACGCGGACGCTCTTGTAGGTCACTCTTGTGGGACACTCTGGCCGGGACACTCTCGTAGGACACTGTGGAACACTCTCGTAGAACGCTCTCGTCGGGCGCTTATATGGAATTACGCTCTTGTCGGGCACTTTTGTCGAACACTCTTGTGGGGGACTCTCGTGGGACACTCTGGCAGAACACTCTGGTATAGACACTCTTGTGGGACACTCTTGTGGGGCACTCTTGTAGGACACTCTTGTCGGACTCTTTTGTGGGACACTCTTGTTGGACTCTGTAGGACACTCTTGCGGGGAAACTCTTGTGGGACACCCTCGTGGGGCACTACCAAAGTCTCCAAAAGTGAACCGTCGCGTCGCGTCTCCAAAACTAGCGTTGCGTACGAGACGCCCTCAAAACTCATATGTCTGCAAAACGATCGTTTCGTACGAATCCAAAATTCGCTCCAGCCCCTCCAAAAAACGCCCGCTCACACGCCAATCCCAATGTCACAGCGCCACTCCACCTCCACCACCTGCCACGAACGTTCCCACGCCCACACCTCCAACGCGCGCAAAAAGTACTGCGCCTGCCACGAAATGTGACCTCCGGCACACCTCGCAACCTCACGATTCCCTGCACCTGCCACGAAAATTGCACTTCCATATTTCAAGCCCCACACACAGTACTACGCCTGCCACGAAAAGTATCGAGCTTTAGCAAAAATTACACCGCAAACACGTCCAACCCCCCTCCAGCGCCGCGAAATCTACGTTACTTTTGCCAATGAGCTGGGCCTACCGCAACAGATTTTCAAATCGTCACCCACGCACCCATCGCTCCTGCGCGCGCGCGCGTGCCTAAGTCTGTTTGATTTCGCGCTGCGCGTGGTTGCAAGCATCCTTTCACTGTCCTGTGGTGGGTGGGCCCCTCATTTATTGGCAATACGGCGTGTATTTTTGGAATGTTTTCGATGGTGATGTATTTTGTGGCGCCTTCGGCGTCTAGTGGTTTTGTAGTTTGCGGCCCTGCTTCGGCGCCACGAAATATGTACTACTTTGGCCAATGCACTGGGCTGCCGCGACCGACTTTTTTAAGCAACTATTGCGCATTTGTTGCAATCTTCCCTTCATATATTATATAGTCCTTTGGTCGCCCGCCCTGCTGCTGTTGTCCTTTCCCTATAGTCTCCTTTTCCTTTCATCGCGCACTGTTCCTTTTTTAAGGTCCTTTTCTTCTTTGATCAAATAGCTTTATGGTTGACGCTGTATCTTTTTTGATCCCTCACCCATCGCTACGGCCTCTGGACGCTTTTCATGTCATGTTAAATGAGCCGCGTTTGATGCCTTGCCTTCCCGGGTTATACTTTCACCGGTGGCATCATCGCCAACCCACTTCTTTGGCTCCATTGGACGCTATCCCTCCTCTCCTGGCCGACTTTCTCACCCCATACCACACGAACCAATTCCCGATCATGCCAGACCCTTGTATACGCAGACTCTCCAGGACCTTGCCTCCATTCGCCACCGACTCTTGCGCGGCGTGTAACTCCTGCAACATATTGCGGAACATGTTGGACCGACGCAGCCACCACGATGCATGGGTGTTACCGTATTGACCCATCATTGGCTTTCACCCTCTACGACCCGGTCACCGCCAGAATTCCGACAGCGCCGCCACCCTTTCCCCTCACGTCCAATTTACGCAAACACCGCCGCCAGCAATCGCAGCCTCACGTCCGCCTGAACGCCCTGGACGACCTCATCTCATGCAACCACACTACAATTCCACCCATCGCATAAGTACCTCACCTTCCTCCTGAAGCTCACACTGGTCACACTGGCCCTACTGAGAGCAATGCATTTTTCCCGCGTATTTGCACACAGCTCCACGCTCCCGGAGAAAACAAGCCGCCTACACTACTACTTGCTCTCAACGCTCAACGCGCCGCGCAACCTGCCCACCCACTTGCAATATCTTGTGAACCAACCTACAGCGCATTTAGCTCCACCACGCTTCTGTTGCTCGCTTTCGCAGTGCCCCATGATCACCTCACCGTTGACTATGAGGTCATGGTCCTCGTGTGAGGGTCCGCGCCGGGTGTGGGCCCGCGGGGCTGCGGGCGCGCGCTGGTCCGCAGTGGGCCCGCGTACGTAGTATATATTATATGTATATATGTGTATTCTATTTATATAGATATAGAATATGTGTGTGTATATATTTGCGTAAGTATATGATGTATATACATCTCTATATATATATGTGTGTGTGTGTACGCACGTATATATATATATATATACATATGTATACATGTATTTCGCACGTTCTTTTACGTGTTTTGACGTGCTTTTAATGTTTGAAATATATCGCTGTATGTTTTACATGCACGTCAACACCGCCAACCACGGGCACAGCTTGGGAGTAACCGCGCTATCCCCGAGAGCAATCGCAAAGGGTTCTTCTTCAATAGGCAGGTTCAAGCGCTACGCACGGTTAACGCTAGACACACACCGGTGTAAAAACGCGAGAACAGAATAGGTTCGAAGTGCGAGAGCACCAATACAAGAGTCGGAACAAAGTATGAACATGGACATGCGTGTTGATCAAGCCTTGTCTTCAGCTCCTGTATTGCAGCCTGAGGTAAGCTAAGAGTGCAGCAAACAACTGTGATCCCCGCGAGTAGTCTCTAAACGTAAAAACATATATGCAACGTGTCATGTAAGTACATAGTCGTGTTGTGTGTATTTAGATTTATAAATATACGCGTGTGTATGTGAACATATGTGTTTATATATGTGTAGATGCATACGTGCGTATATGCATGTACTTGTATATATTTCTCTTCAAACATGTTTATCAACATTCATCAATGTTTATCAACAGCCCTGCAAGTACATAACTCTATATTATATATATATATACATTTTTCATTTCTCACATACGCCAACACCGGTAACCAGGGCACCTGGCTTGGGAGTCACCACGCTTTCCCCGAAACCATTCGTGAAAGGTTTTTTCCTCACGGCAGATTCAATC